CTCCGGCAAATACCCGTATCATATACCCTTGTGACTTTCATGCTACACGTCCTTGCCTTCTCTAGCGCTTCCTTTATCAATGTTGATTAAGAAGGAATTCCGAGAAAAAACAAACGAAAAAAAAACTAAATCAAACTTCCGGTTCTGAAGGTCTGTGAACGCGGCTAAAAGAAGTTAGTTAGGGATGAGTCTCGAACGCGATTTCTCTAGCATTGCCACAATCGTTCCTCAAAGGAGTCACGACAGAAACGCGGCAATGTTTTTTTTTCCTTTTCTTTTCTTCTCCTCTCCTTTTTTTTCTTCTCATCTCCTTTTTTTTCTTCTCCTCCTCTTTTTCGTTTTCTTTTTTGTCCCTCCCACGGTCGGGTCGTTCACCGCGCGGTTGCCATCCATCGGCGACGTCGCGTTTGTTTGCCCTCGAATAGTTAAGCGACGGCGATCAATATAGCTGTGCCGACACTGTCATGTGGTCGGACACACGCAGGAGACTCACATGTGACTTCCCATGTACCAAACACAACCAAGAAAACGGAAGGAGGAACGAATGATAAGAAAGAAGGAGAAGAAAAAAACAAGAAGCAGCAGCCTGAGTTGCCACGTTGTCATTAACATTCACTCCCTCTCTCCAATGTGGCGTTTTTCAAGGCTAGAGCCAATGGATGCCAAAGGGGAACAGCATGTGGCTCCCCTTTTGCTTGGTGCCATTGTTTAACACGTTGCCATCTCCGCTGGCACTGCCAATGAAGAAGAAGGAGGAGGAGGAGGAGGAGGAGGAAAAGGATTCAAGGACAAAGGAGAGAAATTCAGATGGACTACGAGGAGGAGGAGGAGGAGGAGGAGGAGGAGGAGGAGGAGGGACAAGGACGGAGGGAAGGCAACATTGAAGTTAACTATATTAAGAAAACAAATAAAGACATTTACAAGACGCTCCATCAGATAACCTGGAAATACACTGAAGAAAACGAGGGGGGAGAAAAGGGTAAAAGGGCAGTCGAAGTAGTAATGAGGGAGAAAGGTGGCATGTCTAGTTAAAAGGGAAGGTGGACGTCGTGCTGCGGTTCCCTCTCGTTGTGAATGGGCGAGGCAGAAACACAGAGCAAAGACTTAAAAGCTTTATCATTCTTTTTCTCACCTCTCTCTCTCTCTCTCTCTCTCTCTCTCTCTCTCTCTCTCTCTCTCTCTCTCTCTCTCTCTCTCTATTGCCAAGTATCCAATAAGCTTACAGGAATGTTTCCCAAATAGGCGGATGCAAAGACACCAAACAAACAAGAAAAGAGCGAATGTGTGGGGGGCGGAACAAGAGAGGAAATCCTGGAAGAGAACAAAGAAAAAAAAGGTCGAACGTACGAAACGGAGAGGGACGCGAAGACACGAAGTAAAAAAAAATATATATATATTCCTTTTAAGGTTTTAACTGAACGAATGAGCAATAAGGTATTGCCAGATCGTGCAATTAGTCTCATTTGATCTAGTTATTAGCACGGACACACACACACACACACACACACGGGCGGACGCGAACACACACACGGACACACACTCACACAAACCCCGAAGTAGTAAGTATAAATGCATCAAATCCCTAGAAACAAAGAGACTAAAAACGTGTCCGTAGGCAAACGACTCCAACTCAACGAGGAAGCGCCCGGAGGAGGAAAGAAGGGAAAACCAGAGCCAGGCGAGAGAGCCAGCTTCCCGCCCGTGTACTTGACGGACGGGACCGGCAAGTACTCGCAGCAACTGTAGAACAAGAACACGGACATAACAACGACATCAGCACTAACAACAACAGCCATGGCGGCAGCTGGCAGGATAAATAAAGCGAGTGTAAGTGTGACAGACTCGCACAAGGAGGGGGGGAGGAGGGGGGAGGGGACTCAAGCCTAAACCTTAACCCTAACAGTGATTTAACCCTAAAACACTTAGCGCGCGGCGTGGCAAATGTCATACACTAACCTATACCCTCGAGGGAAAGACAACACTTTATCAGAGTTCGAAATCACTCATGAAATGCAAGAAAAAAATAAACAAACGCGAGAGAAAAGACGGAAAGAGAGAGAGAGAAAAAAAAAATCTGCAATTCGCCCACGCAATAATTAAAGACGATTCCTTTTCTCGCATCTGATTACGAGGGAAGCCACGCAAGGTTCACAGAATCTCAGAATCTCAAGGTTTAGTTGCGAATGCTAAACTGCGTGAACGACCCATCTCGGAGGTCAGACTTGAAGGTAGGCCTACAAACGCCTCCACCAACACATGATAAAACAAACCTTTTTTTTCTCTCACCCCCCCCTCTTTTTTTTCATTTTTCTTTTTTTTTTTTTTGTTATTTGGGGCTCGTCGTGCGGGGGTGTAGTGGCCGGGCAGATCCACCTTGTGTAGGCCTAGGTGAATTCTCAAGCCGCCCGGGATAACGCCAGCGACTGACTTCCACGCCAACACCTGGTCCTCGCATGCCACACAAACCACCGAGCCGCGACGTTGAGAGCGAACGACTGAA